GTTGTAGAACGAGTACGCAGACTGGCTGGTGACAAGCTCAGGGCAGCCAAGGACGACTTCAACCTGCTGTTGGAGCTTGGCGTCATTCGGCCGTCTAGCAGCAATTGGGCCAGCCCAATTCATATGGTATCCAAGAAGCTAGGAGGTTGGCGCACTACCGGAGATTTCAGACGTCTCAATGCACAAACGGTCCCTGATCGCTACCCCGTTCCGGTACCTGAAGACCTGTTTCAGCGCCTACATGGGAGAAAGATTTTTTCCACCATCGACCTTGTGCGTGCCTACCACCAGATACCTGTAGCTCCAGAGGACATCGAGAAGACTGCGGTCACCACACCTTTTGGTCTCTATGAGTTCCTGGGGATGCCACCCGGACTGCGAAATGCCACCCAAACTTTCCAGAGGCATATGGACAACATTTTCAGAGGGCTGGATTTTGTCGGCTGTTTTATTGATGACCTCATAGTGGCGTCCCATACACATAAGCAACATATACGGGACTTACAACAAATCTTCACCATTCTACGACAAAACCAGCTCAAAATCAACCCCGGTGTCGTTTTGGCCAGGAGGAGGTGCTCTATCTGGGCTATACGATCAACAAAGATGGTTTCAAACCCCCAGATGACCGTGTCGAGGCGATCCTTTTGTTTCCCAAGCCGGAAACCATCATTGACCTTCGCAGGTTCCTAGGAATATTTAATTACTACCGGAAGTGCGGGCCTAATGCCGCGGAACTTCAGGCCCCTCTCAACGCTTTTCTCAAGGATGCAAAAAGAACGATAAGCGAAAAATTCCTTGGACCCCGGACGCCAAAAAGGCCCTAGAGGACTGCAAGCACAGTGTCGCTTTAGCAGCACGAACAGCTTCCCTGGCACCAACAGCTTTACTTTCTCTTATTACAGACGCTTCTGACTTCGCCATAGGCGCATCACTGGAGCAATACGAGGACGACAGGTGGAAGCCAGTGGGTTTCTTCTCTAGGAATCTCAGTCCTACGGAAGCCAGGTACAGTACGTATGATAGAGAACTGCTGGCTATTTTCGCAGCTATCAAATTTTTTCACCACATCCTGGAGGGCCGTCATTTCATCATTAGAACAGACCACAACCCCTTGCGTTCTCTCAGAAGGCTAGCAAAGCCTCCCCGCGCCAACTCACACAGCTCGATTACATTTCGCAGTTCACCACCGAGATCGTCTACTTAAAAGGTGAGGACAATATCGTAGCTGACGCACTCTCTACGATTTCTTCTATTAGCATGCCCACCATCTTGAGTGCAGAGAGGATTGAAGAGGAGCAGCAGGGTGATGATGAGCTTCGGAAACTTCAAAAGAATAACAACTCCTCTTTAAAACTCCAAAAACTTTGCATTGATGGCAAGCATACGATTTTATGCGACATATCGAGCGGAGTGGTGAGACCCTTCATTCCCAATAGCATCAGGCGAGCAGCGTTCGACTCGGTACATGGGCTGTCTCATCCCAGTGGGCGAACCACAGCCCGAATGCTTAAGAAAAAATACATTTGGCCTGGCATCAAGAAGGATGCACTGGAATGGACTCGAAATTGCATCGCATGTCTTCTTCTTCTTCTTCTTTTTTGGCGCTGTAACCGCCTAAGCGATTTTGGCCGAGTTC